TAAGAAATAAGATTTTCGTCCCTATATGTCGCGTGTTTCAATGGGGACGGTCTTTAAATATGGTTTTGCCATTTACCAAAGATTACATGAATTAATTGCTATCCAGGGTAATGGAGCGCCGAAGGCGCAACTATAGCGAGTTTTTTTGCCCGAAGTGCAAACAATCTTGCAAGAATTAAATATATAGACAATGGTGACTGACTGACGCTAATTCTAACCATCTTCTAGACAAGATGAGAGGCTGAATCTTGGTACACATATAGCCGTCAGATTGCTGACTCCAGAAAAATTCCAACTTTGGGAGTAAGTGCCCTAGGGGCTCATTCCAGGGGCTCTCATTTCGTAAGCTGAGGTTTAACCCTCAGACGGACGCTTTGGCCTAAGCCATTCTCAGGCTCCCCTTGCCTTCAACAAAACGGAAGGAACGTGAATAGCTGATAGGTTTTCGATTCCAGAGAAAGTCTAACTTCAAATGCCCAACTTTGGGGGTCCATGACCTCGGGGCGCGTTTCAGGGGAGGGTTGGGAGAATGATTTCGCAGGCCTAGGCCCAACCCATGGATGGATGCTTAGGCTAATACCACTCTCACATATTTTCTTCCTTCATGGAAGCAGGAGAGAAAATAAATGGTTGTATCATTCCACACCTTGGATGAAGTTTGACATAGAAAGCACGTGCCATGAGGTGATTGACTTAGCAGGCCTATAGGTAAACCTTGGACAGACGCAGATGCCTGCTCGAATCTTGCCCAACCCATTCGCATCGAGGAACTTCTCGGCCCATCTTACCGAGCATCCTTTTGTCTTAGCTTGATGCGCTAGGCGTTCAAGCTATGCTGTTGGGTCATTGGTGAAGAGAAGGGCACATACTGGTACGCTTGCAGATATGAATGGGTTCTATTTATTTTTCTTGCAGGGAAACAGTAGATGTTCCAATTACTTTTCGATATAAGGTGGCTATGTGTAATCCACTTAAGGACGACTAGGCAAGTGCTCACACTTCAACAAAACGGGAAGTTATTGCTACGGGCTGCATATTCGGTTTATACGGTTTTTTCATAGACAACTGTATGGAAACTTTAGAATTATCGGCTTGAAACTCAGAAGTAATGAGCTTATGTGTCTGCTGCCTAGCCCCCCCCCCCAGGTGGAGGTGTAGGCTTACGCCATTCTCATAAACACCTTCATTACTCCGCATTGAAGGAAGTGTGTGTTAGTGCTAGGGGGGGTGTACACACCCTGGGGACAAATTTCGCAGGCCTGGCCTACCCCATGGATGGATGCCTAGGCCAATACTACTCTCATGGACACTCCTCAAAGGAACCGGGATGGAGAATAAGTTGCTGTTGGCTTGCATACTACAGATACAGTTCAACATTGGCGGTACTTGCCCTGATGGGAATGATTCAGCAGGCTTATATCCAACCCTTGGACGATTGCTCAGGCCTACAGCGATCTTTAATATTAGCCATCTTAGCGTTATAACTCTTAAGTGGCTTATGTGGTTCATATGGCTGCTATTACTCCTACTTTTTTGGAGATTGATGCGCTATTAAGAGTGCCTCGACCATACACAGGAATTGAATACACCAATGGAACATTAAACGGCACACTTACAATTGTTAATTGGTGATCCTTATGCTACAAATGACATGGGGTCATTAATAATATTTTCTTTAACACCTTTACTTTAAGGTGCAAGAATTTAACCCATAAGTTTGACCGCATTAGTTGGGGTGAGCATTGAAAACAGATGCCTTAGATCACAGAGCGCCGAAGGCGCGTCCATAGCTACACCTACTCCATAGCATACTCGCTAGTATCAAATAAAATGGGAATGCCCTCTAAAGATTTCCTGGAATGGAAAATTCATTCAACTGGGCAAGTGAAGCTTTCATTAAGTAACTTCCTTCCCAAGAATTCTGAAAACTTTTTTGACATAAGTAAAACAGAATTCGATGCTGCCCTGACGAAACTCGAAGAAAATTGCGTCATTGCTGTCATTGATGAGGCCAGGAATAACTTCTGCTTTATTTGTAAAAGGCTCTATGGTATAATTATGAAAAAAGAAGTTTTGGAAAATGCTACCTATGAACCAGCTAAAGAGTCCCAAAATAAAAACCTAAGTAACCTCATGAAAATTAGTATTAAGTTCAACATCGCTGCAGATGAGAGAGATATGAAGTTGCCCTTTTTGTTTTTATATCCTACATTCCATAAAACTCTTATGAAATTTCGATTCATAGAGAGTTCTGTAGACACTTGCCTCAAGGGTTCCTCTCTACTTTTGAATGGCATTCTTGACAGACTGTGACAAAATCCGACTGAGATGCAAGAATTATCACTGTTACTGGATCATTAACAGCAACAGTAAGGTGCTACAAGCCATCAAGGCACTGAATGAATCTAGGAAAGCCAATTCTGTAATATCATGGGACTTTTCAATTTTATACAGTAAAATACCGTTAGATATTCTGCATCATAATATTCTCGAGCTTTTCCAGGACTATGCAGTCAGGTTTCACATGTAACTATCGTTTCATTAATGAAGAGTTATTCTCTATCATTTTGAGGAATTGCTTGGACAATAATTACATCAAAATTGGTGATCAGATTTTCAGGCAAAAAATTGGGATTCCAATGGGCAGCAATTACTCTACTAANTATCGTTTCATTAATGAAGAGTTATTCTCTATCATTTTGAGGAATTGCTTGGACAATAATTACATCAAAATTGGTGATCAGATTTTCAGGCAAAAAATTGGGATTCCAATGGGCAGCAATTACTCTACTAATATGGCAAATTTATTTTTATTTTACTATGAATCGATACTTATGAAAGAAACCCC